CCATTTTTGCCAGTTTATAATTCATTGTTATAGGGAAATTCTAAATATCAATTTTAGGCATTTTAGCCTTTGTAGTTAGTTAAATATTTAATTTTTTGCATTTTTATAAATTGCAGTTATATAATAGGGTGGCGTGGCAGTAACTCTAAATGACCGATTTTTTGTAAAAAGCTTCGCCTATCTTATAACGTACCTTGTGCAAAATTTTATTAATCTACCTTCAATATTTTTCGAATTACAGAATTAAAAGCAGCTAGATGGGTCAAATCTTACACTGTGCGGCGTAGCGAAAAAATGTGGCTCGTTCCAGAAACCGCTACTTGGGACTTGCCGATTTTGACAATTCTCAAGTAAAAGTAAACAACGCTTTAGAAATTTTAGATGCACTGAAATTTGCTAATACTTTCACAAAAATCGCCGGTTTTTATTTTTTTCGCTATTAATTATTTTTATAAATCATATATTTTGCAATTTAACATAATCAAAACACGTTTGATGTCGAAAAATTTAATACTGAAAAAAATTACTATTTTACAGTTTAGTTTATCCTCCAATTCTGCCTGTTGTTAGTGTTTAGTGTTGGACAACTTTTGCTCTTGAAATTAAGAAAATTATGTCGAGCAAAAATAAAACTACTCAAAAACGCGAATATGTGGTAGATTTCAGACCTAGTGTGGTAGATGTGGTAGATGCTCAAAAAAGTGGCAGATCTACCACAATGTGGTAGAAGTCCGATCACTGCGCTCAAGGTTATGCAGTACCCGCAAAGAGCGCGTTCAAGCGCTACAAATTTTTGTCTTTAAGCTAATTCCCGAAAAGTTTTTGGGTTATGCGGCAAGGTATTTGGCCATGCCACAAAGTTATTACTTCAGTTCTAGAATTTAATATTTTAGAAGGGCCACAATTTTCTGCTTATATGCAACTTTTTTGCTCATGACTGTATAATTTCACCATGGTTTGGTCTAGGGTGAATAAGGATGTAGCATACCTTTAGGCACTATATTCTATAAGTTACCTAAACTCGGCTATTTTTATTCCCATTTTGAACTCATCTATGCAGCCTTATTTCCAAGCCACTTACAAAACACATCGCATGACTATTTCCTTAACTATTTCGCCTAAAATTATGCAAGAAAACCTCACTTGAAGCATTATTATGATGACAACTGTCATTCCTATTGTTATGACCTAAATACTGACACAGTTGGGATAATAATCATGTGATGAGTTTGTAATTTGTCTCTGGGAATAGGGCTGATAGCCTACTCCAGTCGTTGGCAAATCGGCTGACAGCTGTTTTTGCTGAGAAACCTGGCGGAAATCATGGCATTTGTGGTCTAATTGCTATTCGTTTAGAACGAAAAGAAATAAAATTAGAGCTGTGTTACTTCAATAAAATTAAAACTGATGATTCGCTTATCGAGCACCGTAACTGGAACTTTCGAATCCTTTTTCACCAAATCTCGACTGTCATAATTAGAGTACTGCTAAACGTGAGCTACTTCATTGTTTTCCAACAATTAGTGCGCTCATTGGTAATACGTGGGGAAACTTAGAGTACTTAGTGAGCGACCACTAATATTCTTCGTCATCTTGAAAAAATTTGTAAAAAGCAAAGTTAGAAATACGCTTGGTCGAGTTAGCCCACTGCCAAACGCTTAGATCGTCGAACGCAGCACTTAGCCGAAAAAACTCAAGTATGAATAACTGTTTTTGTGGGGTTAAAAACCTGCGTCCGCAGACATGGGCACTTGAAGAAGCCCCGCATGTCGCTAACTCGTCAAACTCGTCCAAACTGCGCACTTCTTAAGCCTCCTGACTAAGTAGCCGCTACAACAAAGTCATCACTCCCAATCGTCCTGCAGAAGAAGTAGGCATAAAACGTTCCCTGTCAGAAAAGATTTTGACTTTGGAAATAGTCACAACAATATGCTGGTTGCGGTAAAATGGCTTGTTAGGAGAAATGATATACAGACTATAGCGATGAGCTTGCACTTGATTGAGTTAGTGTGAAGGGGCTGCCAGAAGATACTATTGCCACACATATGTAGGCTCGTTGATCCCATTTTAAGACCCTTTTGCACACATTTCTATATAAATTGAAGTCTACAAATTTGAGTAGTTGCCGTATTCTCAACACTTTCCTCCAACGTTCAGGTACTCAAAAATTCTAATCCCATTAATTATAGTCTCCTAGAACAAGGCAGTATGTGCCATGACCCCTAATTCCTGTTTGACGCTGTTGTTTTGGAGATAGACCTAATTTTTCATTATTCCTTTAATCTTAACCAACGCCACCAAATTTCGCCAAGTAAAACACCCCCCATATTAGTCAATTTTCTTGACATGGCGTCTTCCACAAAAATATTCCTTTCCATCAATTAATTTTCGTTCAATCAGGTCAAAGTACCCGTTTTTAAGATTCTAAGCTACAATTCTCTTGTATTTAATAAACTTTCGGTGTCAGCTTAATTAATTGTGGTTATTTTACTCGGCGACATTTGGCGCCGTTAGTTAAAATTAAAGGAATAATGAAGAAGGAAGTCTACCTCCATATTCTCCAAACAAATTGTCCGGACTTTGTAGATAAAAGCGCATATCCTGAGGAAGAAGTCGATTGCCAGCAGGACGGAGATCCAGAGAATTCTGAAAAGATTAGACATCACCGGCTGCTCAAACAAAATGCTCACGTTATTCTGTGACCAGCACAAAGTCCAGATCCCAGCGCCATCAAACATTTTTGCGCTGTGGTCAAGCGGGGATTGGCATAGCACAAAGGAGCTCCGAGTAACACAATGGAAGTACGTTGGATGCGAGTAAAATTATAATGGGATAATATTTCAAGCGAAATCATAAAAAACTCAGTAGACAGCATTCTCGGGCTTAGTAAAATTGCAATTAAAAACAAGGAAGTCTCCACAATCCTGTTGGTATTAACCTTCAAAAGTCCCGAAACAGAAAAGTTCAAAACTGAGTGAATACAGTTACTTTAAGTAATAAAAGGTCGTACATGCACTCGGTTTTGATTGCCAGTGTATGTATGAATTTGAGCTCATATAAGTCGGAGGAAGGGAAACACCCTCATATCGGACTCTTAAATGAGCTCATTATGAGCGTAAAGGCTCCGAAATAGGACTCCTTAAAGACTCGTTTATGACTCCAAATTTTTGCTGGGTAGTAGTACATCTAGTCAATCTGGCTCCATTTGTAGGAAAAAATTTCATGCAGGATAAAAATGGTACCATGCTGTTCAGAAGAATATTCTATTCTATTGTTCTATCTTTCAATTTGACAGGAAATATTTTTAATTAATTTAGAACTATTGACAATTAAATATCGCAACGCTGCTACTAGCACTGACGCACAAATTAACAAATATAAAAATATTCAAGAAGTGGTCGTAATTTATTGAAACTTCACTCCTACAAGGACTACTTCATGGTAATTTCAAAAAAAAAAATGTTTACCGTCTACGAATTTCGAAAAACCCGTGTTTTTAGCACTCGTTACCAATTTTAAGTGATCGCGCCCATTTTTTTATTATAGTTATTTTAAAAATGGAATCGGTTTTTTTGTACCGGTTACTCACTTCGAAAAATCCGAATTTTTAGTACCGGTTACCGGTTCCAGCCAGGCAACAATGCCCATTTGGACACTTGCACCTAATTGAATAAGGTATTCTATATTTCTATAGCTTTTACAAAGAACGTTTTGTGAGGCTGCGAACCTGGCGGCCATGTGGTCAATGGTTCCCTTTCGTATTTTGCATTCTTAGTTCATTGACTAGTGGTAATTGGTCGACCTGCTATAGCCTTCTACTGAACTCATGAAATTAAAGATCTCAAGGATGGTCGCTTCGCCTAATCCTGACGCCATGCCAGTTGCATATGTCTCAGCCTGAAATTCGTTACATTTACCTGAGGGTCTATAAGCCTCTCTCAAAGACAGTTTCTGAGAGAAGAGACCATATTCAGTGCCAAAGTCTATGGATTTCTAACTTAAAGTAACTGAAGCTCGAAAGAGGGGGCTCCTGTTTGCGGCTTTGCAAGACGTCAATAAATAACTATTTGAATTACAGATTAAGCAAAATCGTTGAAGCATGACAGTAGCTAATGTTTGTGGCTAAAATTTGCAAATAGTTTTGAGCTCTAAGTAGTTAGTTAAAGGAAATATCATTGATTAAAGTAATTGCTTGATTTATAAAGTATATAAGTCATTATTGTAATGTGTCTATTTTAATATTTTTTTTGTAATTTTTTCCCTCTAAACGAGTATTTAATTAATTCATAATTTCATAATATCAAAAACTTACTTTTTTGTTATGTAGTAAATATGTATTTAATAAAAAATCACAAATTTCTTTGTGCCATTGGCAGTTGATATTTCAAAGACGGTGAAAGGACAATGCAAATACATACATATTTACGGGTATAACATCTTATGAACCGAAAGTGAGTTGGGGCCCAGGTGCAGTTTACTGTGTAGCTCAATTTCATATCTTGAGTAACAAAATTGAGTCTAAACTTGAGCTCATTTTTTATTCGAACTACGTTGATATCAGCAATTGAAAAGAGGCTATATAATTCGCATCGAATAAGAATTATTACGAATTTTCATCAGCTCCCTTAGCTCCTTACGCTGAGAATATAGTCGCCGTTTTCGTCGCTCCATTATAGGCTCAGCTTTAGAGCTTTTACTTTGCTCAAGTTTCCGGTAATTGAAGAACTTATTTTTTTCCGAAATAATACAAAATTTGGTGAGGAAAGTCGTATGGATCGAATCACTTACTTAAACTTACTTTTCTACATCAAAACATCACACGCCAAGTGTCTACAAGCTTTATGGACAAAGCTCGGTTTTACAAAAATTCTGCTAATGTTCAGAAGAGCGTACTGTTACAATAAAACCGAGATCCACAATGCAAATACAAAAGTCTAAACCTCAGTTTAGATGCTCAACACTCTCTTGTATGTATACCTACAATTAGGCATTTCAATTACATTTTATTTATTTGTTTAATGCCTTCTCAATCACTACTACTTAGCAGGCAACTATGTATGTATGTATGTATTTTTCGCTCAGTGGGTATTCCAAAAAGGTACAATACTTAGGTGTAACTACATAAAAAATCAAAACTTAACACTTATTACTTCCACACTAAAAATATATTTCTTCCCCGAAGCAGTTTACATCCGCCACTCCTCCACTCCACTATCGCCTCGGCCGATTTCGTACATCTGCCTGCCCCGCTGCGCACACAACTGCTACACGTGCACGCCCAGCGGTTTGCCTTGCAACCACAACTCGTACCTCTAGTATCTGCTGTGGTAGGCATGACCCGGCCCTCGAAACATGCGGCACAATATCGCCACGAATAGCGTCAGCATCAAACTCAATCCCAGCGTGATCAATATCAGCTTGCCATATGGCAATTCGCTCAACTCCTGACGCAGGCATATCTCTGCCGATTCATCGTTCAGCACGAGATCCTTGTAGGCGTGCGCGCGATGCAGCAGACCGAGTTGCTCCAAATTCCACTCAATGTGCCGCGTTAGTTGAGCCATCGTAGAGATGTGCGTCACGTTCGGACAATTGTCGACACCGTTGCACAGCAGGTGGCGTGGTATGCAGACCTCTGTGTCGCCGGGACAGCGGAAGTCGCAGCCACCGTCCTGCAGCAACGACGATGCCAAACTACCGTCGGGATTGCGTGGCAAATGGAACAGTTCGGTCCAAACTAAACGGAAGGCATTTTTGCCCGGCTGCCCATCGCCGGTGTATTGTATCAGCACTGGCAGTGGTTCCTGATCGGCGCCAAGCGCACCCAGATCGGCTGCCGAGAGTATGGGTAGATCGCGCGCCAAGGAGATATTTTCGGGGCACATAATGAAACGTGGCTCGAGTCGCCCCGCAAGGTATACTTCGATTTTGGCGCTGTCACAAGTGCGATCGGCAAACCGCGCTTTCTCCAAATTCAACCACAGGTCGCGCTGTGCCGCCACTTTCAGTTCCCAAATGCACTTTTCGCGACGATAATGATGCTCAGGCACGGCGGCCATTGGGCCCGCCGCCATCGCCAATGCCTTCTTGAAGGGAAATACCAATTCGCCATCGGGCGAGGGCCCCAGTGTTATGGGGCCGCATAGCGGACCGTGCGCAAACTCATAAGACGCCTCGAATAGTGGATTGGGATTCTTGAAATAGGACGTGATTGCGTGTTGACCCTGCACAATCATTTCGAGATTCATCTGATCTGCGGAGGAGATGACGCGTACTGCGCGTGGTATATTATCGCAGAAGCAGGCGAGATTGTTCTGGAATTTCTCGCGTTCCTCCCAAATCACCAACTTATCGACACGCTCTTCATGGCAACGCGTGCAGGCGTTATTGTTGTAAGGTAACTCTTTGAACGAAACCGAAGTGACTTCGATGACAGCGCGCGCATATAGCCGACGATCGGTGACGAATTTATACTGACAGCGTACATCAGAACCGCCAGTGCGTTTGAAAATGAGCGAGTTCATTGGCGAGCGTATCTTACCACCCGGATGCTTCCAGGCGTACATAACCTCATCGCAGAGTGTATTTGGCACCGGATCACCGAAACGGGTGTTATTGAAGAAGTCGTAGTGTGCCCAGTAGTAAAGCGAAGAGCCGCTGTAGGAGCCGGTTTTCGAGTCGAATTGCACGTATAGCGAGGGACTGGTGCTCACGAAGTCCACCTTTTCCATAGGTCGCGAAAATGTGTCGCAGAAGGTTTTAATAATACGTGCCGGATCGGGATGATCGGAGTCGTAAATTGTAAGCGATTCACCGCAGTCGCCGTCATACTTGAGTATCGGTGACTCAATGCGATTGATGCGGAAGCTGGAAAGAGAAGGAACATACAAATTTCGGATGAGCATACATAGGTACTTGTATGAAATAAGAGAGATTAAGACAACTCGGAGCTCAATTTTTGCTACAGTTATCGAGTATATATTTATAAGTCAATGAAAGCTTAGTCAGAAGTATATCGAGTAATGAGGCAGAAAGTTGAGGATATTTTTAATAATCACCAGAAATCAATCCTTCGTCAATTTTAACTGGAGTTTTGTGCCCATTTGTTTTCCTTAGAGTGTTACTAACGTGATGGTTATGTACATAGGTCGATTTAGGTTATTACACATGCCAGTCGAGTAAGTCTAGTCTCTTGAGTTCAAGTAAATAAACTCAGCTTCTTTCGCATAAACATGTCACATTTAAGCCGCAGCAGATCTTCAGGCTTTGATATTTTTCTGTGCCTATGCATATGCATACATGTATGTACATATGTTGGTGTGTGTATATTAGGGTGGTCCAAAAACAGTTAGGTCGGAATTGTAATGCTTTCACCCCCTAGGATTGTTCTATATCGAAAAAAAGTATACCCGTATTTTTTTATTTTGAAATCAAAAAATATTTAGAGGTCGCTCAAAGCGCTCAAAGTTTTCCGTGTATTTTTATATGGGAAAAATAAGATTTTTCGTAGAAATGGAATATAATTCTTGAAAATCAATATTTTTCGATCGGAAAACTCTGGTTCCCTTCAGAAGACTTTCAATAATAATACCCAATTGTTTATTTACACTTTTTTTTACTACCGCCTTTTTATTGGTCCGCCCATTGCATTTTTAATGGGTTTTTGGCGGACCTATAAATTATAGTTGCGATGAAAAGATGTTTAAATAAGCAACTGGGTATTATTATTTGGAATCTCCTGCAAATAAGCAGAGTTTTCTGGTAAAAAAATATTGATTTTTAATTATTCTATACCATTTCTACGAAAAGTTGTTTTTTTCCCCATATAAAATACATGGATAACTTCGGGCGCTTTGAGCGACCGCTAAATATTTTGTTGATTTCAAAATAAAAAAATAAGGGTACATTTTTTTCGATATGGAACAATCCTAGGGAGTTAGAGCATAGAAGTTCCGACTGTACTTTTTAACATGCATTTTGGGACCACCCTAGTGCATATAAGCACTTGCAACAAACTGCTAGCTGGTAGACATGTCTGGCAGCATGCCAGCGAACAAATTTTTCCAGTTACACTATACTAACAACTATGTATATACATATAAGCCTGTGCAGTCCTCCCAACATGTGCTTTATTTACTGTTTTTTTTTTNTCAGGCAGTGTATATGTATTTAGTACAGCGAGTTATATAAGGCACAAAAGCTGCTTCTGCTGCTAAGGTACACTGAGCTCGCCCAGCGCTGAGCTGCCCCTAAGCCTATGTTGCAGGAAGGACTACCGGTAAATGGGTGATAGTGGTGGTAGGCAGCCGAAATCGGCAAGGCGGCCTATCAAAGGACTCGCAATATACGAAAATACATTTATAGCTGTGTACGAGTTTGCTTGCGGCAAGGTGATCATTTGCTTTTGCAGCACGAAATTTCGTGACATGGCGGTAAATGGCATCCATACATTTGTGTGTATGTATGTATGCACAGCTGCGTTGTGTGTCAACTTAAGCTGCCTACAACAAACTGGATTATGAGGATATGCAGCACGGCAGGATGGCAGCAGGCTAGGAGCCGCCAGGTAAGCGCAGAAATAGGCGCTCGATGTCGAATATGTAGCGCTCAAGATGCTGCAACACTGCTTAACAGAGCCTGAGGAGGCACGTTTATGCAGTCTACACGTAACTGCCATAAATATGTATATTTGTTGCACTCGCGAATTAAGTTGACCTGATGTGAGTCGTGCAAATTTAGTGCAAATTAAATTTCTTAGGCGACTGGGTAATGCTGTGTGAATTTTTGTTGTTGTACACGGGGACAAAATTCGTATGAATTAGTTTGATAATTTGGTGATTGGAGCAAGTGGAATTTTCGAAGCACTTGCATTTTAGAGTCCACCGTTGTAATTTAGCTAAGTGGGATAGTAAAGGAACGAATGGAATTTTCGAAACAAAGCAAATATTAGAGCTTTTGTACGTGAATATGTTTTAAATGAGTTTAAAACTTGGAGCTTTTGTAATGATTGATATATGGAATTTTCGAAACAGTAACATTTTTGTGATTTTTACAAACATTCTCTATTGAAAAAATCATACTCGAGTTAATTTTTAAGAAAAATTTACTGGAACGAGTGGAATTTTCGAAACTGTGTACTTTTTTTGAGATCTGCACAGCAGGAGATTTTAATATACATACATACATATCGTCGTTTAAAGTACAAAACCACATATCCTCGTAATTCAAAACCGCGAGGTTCTGCATAAATTATTTTCTAGAGAGTAAAAACACTCATATATCAAATTTGTTCTCTCTTTAATAAAGCAATCGCATTTCTGTCTAGTATATTTCAGGACGAATGGATAAGGCTTCAGCCAGAGGCTTCGGTGAGCAAATCCAATTTTTGACAAAAAATGTCCCTTACGCAGTTTTCCAGAACGGCGATACGCGGTTTTGTACTTTAAACGACGATATGTATGTATTCCAAAATTCAACTCTTAACACCTGCAAATTTTGAGTTCTGCGATCCGATTTCCGTCAGATATTTTCGCATTATATTTTTATGAATTGGAAAAAAAATAAAACTTAGCTAAAATTTTAAAGGAAACTTCGAAAGCATCATCTTGTGTCGGAAAGATTTTTTCGATAAGAAGTTAACTTTCAGTTTTTTATATTTTAAATCTACCCAAGGAATTTTCAAAATATAGCAGCTTTTCTTTTTCAAAGCTAATTATTTTTTTGTTCTACTAATATGCCTGGCTTTCAACTGCTACTCGCAATAGATGTACATCTGCGTACTATGTACATTAGGGAGGGTCAATTTATATGGGCGATTTTTCGACTACGCGCGTATAACACAAAAGGATTCTACGTGTAGTTCTAAGCACATTTTCCGAAGAAAATAAATTTGGAGTTTACCAAATCGCGAAAATAGGTGTCTTAATATTATGCTGTAGGCCAACTCCAAATTGATTTCAGAACTATTGTTTCTTCAGAAAATTTGCTTAGAATTCCACGTAGAATCCTCTTATACTATATGAGCATACATAGTTAAACAAAATTTGGAATAATATTACGTTTTCCTGTTCCTTGTATACTAAAACTACTGAAAACTTATATGAAATTGCATAAAAAGTTTTAGGGGAACATGTGAATTTTCGAAACACCAAGAGTTTTTAGAGTTGTCTAAGCTAATTTGGCATAGAAGTGCAACTGACACAAAATTTCCTTTAGTGGAACAAATGGAATTTGCGAAACACTACTCAAAACTTGCATCCTAATTTAATTTAATTTAATTTTATTTTGAACTTAATGATTTTTTGTCTGGACATATTTTGCCTTTATTTTTATATGATTCGTCGCAGTGCTCAGCTAACATTGTCGAAATTTTGTGCATAGGACTCAACCACTCACAGGCACATGTACATACATACATATGTATATTGAAAGCATGTCTTTTTGCCCAAAGGTATTTTATATGCTCTTTACAGTCTCTGCCAATCTGCTTAGGCTTAGACTTGAAGTCTATAATAAAATATTATGTCATATTTTTACTAGGCAACGAAATGGAATTGTGTGAATTCCTTCGCCTATTTAGCTCATGACTCCCTCGCGTCCATTTTCCACACCTCAACTGTACTTCTCTCCTAACCAATGGTTTGTTTGGGGCTGCATATAACTTTTATGCTGCACGTAAAAGTTCAAGCCAGTAAGTATGTATTTCTATGTATTGTATGCACGTAAGGCTATTCGTGTGCCGCCATATTATTGCACTATCTGTGTCTCACCTGTACTTGTAGCTGGTTGCTAAAATTGGCATTTTTGTGGTTAGCTGACTATGAAGGCTTCAGCTAGTGCGCTTTTCCTTTCACCGTTGTCGTGGATCACAAGCGAAAATTGGCTTAAACTAAGTTACTGTTATTATTATTATTTTCATTTCATTACGTTTACTAGTTCCATTTCGTGCCATTTTCATCTGCGAAGTGAATTCTTGGTGTTTTTTTTCTTTGCTGTTATTTAGTCACATTTGCTTTGGGTGTTCGTATGTAGCTGTGGCTGGCTTTGTGCGGTTTGCTCCCCATTCCCAGCACACGAAGTCGGATTTTTATTTTGCCACTGCAGTCACGCGCGCCTTCTCTTACCTTAGCGCCCGAAGGGTAGCTGCCACATGTGGCACATTTGCTGCACGCCACATATACATACATACATATTTGCAAGCACGTGTGCCTTGCCTGACTGCTAGTCTACTTGGCTGTGTGGCAGCAATAACTACGAGCACCAACCATATAAACTCCCCCCACTCTTCGAATGCTTTGCCGACTTCAGTCTCTTTTGACGTCCATGCTCGTAATTGAAAAAGTTTTTGTCATCTGAATTACTGAATTACAACTCGTCCTCAGTCCTGCCACTCTAGCCCTGCTACGTAAGTGGATTTTCAAAGCATCAACTTTGTGCTGTGTAGCTTCAATGCAGATTTACTAATAATATTTT